AAGCTTTCAAGGGAAGCAGGCAAGAGAGAACAACATAGGAGGGAGAGTCTAAGAATTAGTGGTAGGGCCATTAGGTAATATTTAAACAACAGATAAGACCTGTGCAAGTGGGGGTTACATCCAAGCAGTGGGCAGGCAGTTCTTTTCCTGTCTGGTGCTGGATCACACCAGCAACTGAACGTCGAATTAGCTGGAGTATTTCTCTTAACTATTTAAATCTGCATTCACCTCTTCCCTCACCATAGTGGAAGTGTTGGCAGTGTAGCAGCAGCTGCTGGAGGATGAAGCTTTGCTGCAATTGCCACCAGAAAATCGCTAACACAGAACAAAGCTGTTTCCTTGAAAAGTGAAGTTGACATTAATGCTTAAGGCTTGAGGATTTATGAAGCTTTACTTGTAATGGTGAGAGAGATCCCTGGAGGAAAGGTACCAGAGAAGAGCAAACGAGAGTTAGAGTGATTTAAGAAATGGGGGGGGGGGGGGGCGGGACCCAAAATGACCTTTGGTTTGTGCTCCTGACAACAGAGATGAGTTTCCTGCTCCTGTGCTTGGACCTGCAAGGATCAACAGGAATCACTGACTTTGCAGTCTGCAGAAATGGGAAAAGGGAGAGAGAGAGAGAGACACAAGCAGCTTCTCAGTTAACACAAGAGCTGTCAACACCAGACAGCCTTTGGAAGATCAGAACAGCTCCAATAACAAAGCAGTACCAGAGATTTATTTAAGATCTTATAGGGATATGCAGAAACAGCTTGAAGCTGATTCAGCACAAATACTGAGTTCAGAGAAAAAACAGCTAGTTTCCTTTCTCTCCTACTCTTGATTTCATTTCTGCAACATTCGATTTCCTTTCAGCAAGTCTGCCCACTGATATTATTCATACTGAGAGTCAGTCACGTATTGGCTTTCAATAGCGTGTTCCTGGTTAGAATGCATCGCCCAGACACTGGTAAAGCTCTGAGCATGTTATCTCAAGATGATTCTCTCTTCTCAGCTGTGTAATTGCACTAACTTTAAATGATGTTAAACACAAATAAACCGGAAGAGTGCTCTGAGAGGCTTGTGCT